GCCTTGCCGTGGGGCACGCGGCCCGGCGGGGCTCTCCCCAAGCTGGGGTCGCAGGGGCAAGTGGGGATAGGGCCGCAGCTACCGGATTTGACAGCGATGCTGGAGCACAGGGTCAGAAACACCAGTGCCCGTAGGGACAGGGACCGGGTGGTGCCGTCTACACAGACCTTCATGTGAGGTGCACTCAGCCACAGCACCCCTGCTCTGCATCACCCCCTTGGGAAGTGCCATCCCAGCCTGGGGTGACCATCCCACGACCCTCCAGCTGCCCAGAACACCGTGTTTCTCTTTTGCAGGAAAAAAACAGGTTTGCTTTTCTCTTCCCAGTCTGGAATGGGAACAAATAGTTTTGAAATTTCCTTCTCGGTTTCCTTTCCTCCCCTGTTTTTATACTTTTCACATGATTTCATGACATAATGGGACAAAGCAGTTTAGATATTTGTCCCGCTTTTTATTTGGGAAATGATTAAAAGCAGCTGCTCCAGGGCCCTAAATAAAACAGCTTATCAAGATGTCTGCTGATGGGGTTGGGATGACACGCTGAGCTGGGCTGTCACACTACAGGCTGCCAGTTTGTGTACATGTATATAGATTTACGTGTATACTTTATATATACTCATATACGTGTATATGTATAGCTAGTACTGCCCTCAACGAGCATAAAACAGGAACTAGATGAAGGAGACTTTCAGCTCGTTTGATGGGTTATCCCGTAGCGTGCCAGCAGCAGTAGTGCAGTGTGGCAAAGAGAATAGAAACCATCTCACTTACAACCCAAATGTCAGACCGCGCTGAACTGCATATTTTCTCAGCCAGAATCACTTTCCAGTGGAAATGCATTTCCTCCGGGAATCTTTTTTTTTTTGTTTTGTATTGAGATTTTTTGCCATCATTCCCACATTGACCTTTTCAGCAAAAAATGTTGAGGTGGCAGCGATGGGGAGGGGAGCTGAGGCAGTGGGGTTTGCGTCCCCCGCTTTGGGTTGCTTCGAGGGATGCTGCAAGTGTTAAAGAATCAAATACTTCATGGTAGTGTTTTATGAGTCGCTCTGGCATTGGGGTGGGGGTTGAGCGGTGGTTTCTCCATTCTTGACCCCCGAGGGCCAGCACGTCCTGGCTGCTGCCAGGACACGCAGGATGCTTTGGGGTGGGAGCATCGCTCCTGTCGGGAGCCTCGACGAGCCTTGTCTCTGTGCCAGATTGACCTCCGGGACCAGAAGAAGGTGACGGGCGTCATCACGCAAGGAGCCCGTGACTTCGGGCACATCCAGTACGTGGCAGCCTACAAGGTGGCCTACAGCGACAACGGCACGTCCTGGACCCTCTACCAGGATAGCCAGACAAACACCACCAAGGTGTGTGGGGCAGGGCAAGCAGGCAGCGACCTCCTGGGGCTTGGGGATGCCGCTGTGGGGAGGGGTGGGATGGTGGTGGGGAGGTCCCAGCGGTGCTGACACCCACCTTTCCCCCCTAGATCTTCCATGGTAACAGTGACAACTACTCACACAAGAAGAACGTGTTTGACGTGCCCTTCTACGCTCGCTTCGTCCGCATCCTGCCCGTGGCCTGGCACAATCGCATCACCCTGCGCGTGGAGCTGCTGGGCTGCGATGAGTAGGCGCTCGGGGAGGAAGGACGGGGCTGCTCTTCCCTGCTGCCCGGCCCACGCCCTGCCTGCCCCTGTCTGCTCCTGCTCTGACCTCACACCCCCCTCTCCATGTCCCCAAACTCGGGAGGCGGCCGGGAAGGCTCCCCTGCCCCACGTAGGCGCTGGGGCTGCAGCATTGCACTTTATGGGGCCCTTGCAGGTGGGACATGGGGAGGGCTCCTGTTCTTTCACCCTGCTAGCCAGGGGTGGGACCCTGTTCTGCAACCAGGGCTTGGCTGGGGGACCCCCTCCTGCAACTGGGGCTTCCTTGGGGGACCCTGTCCTGCGAATGAGGCTTGGCTGCAGCCTCCTAGCTAAGCCTGGAGACCAGTTTTCTCCCCCTTTTTGCTTCTGCTTCCAG